TTCAGTACCATGTTTGGTCCTGTTCCAGTGAGCGTTGCAGTTCCTCCAATGCTGGCAGCATAGCACACACACAGTGTCATCCCCTTGCATATACGTTTCTTCATTTTATTTTCCTCAGAAGACCTGGGGTCATCAGGGACTTGTCCATTGCTTGTGACTAGACACAAAGAACACCACTTGCCTCAGGCAAAGTTAGGGGAGACAGAGAGGTCAGGATAGGGTCTGCAGGCTCAGTGCTTCCAGTATGTATGTGCCATTTATTTTAGTTCAAAAAACTGCAGATATGTCCCTAAATACTTTAGACTCATGTTCATGAGGAGCTGAAGAAAGAGGCTGATAGTCTGGGTTTACAGGATTCAAGGATCCAAGAGGCTGTTGTTCATATCAGTGCCACAGTTCCTCAGCAGTAGTTTGCTGTTTCACAGAGAGCTTACCACAAGCCAGATATTCTACTCACAGGAGCCATTCCAACCCCACAGTAAGAACCCAACCAGCTTTAACAGTTTTGAATATGGGCAGAAAAAAAACCACCGAAAATCAAATTCTTGCTTGGCATAACAGTATATTATGTCAGTTTACATCAGCTGTGAAACTTTGCTGCTGTGTCCACTGTTCTCTGAGGTTACCACTCTAATCTTGAAGTCTGACTTGACTAATGGAGCAGGACAAAGAAGTTATGGCAATTACAACCAACTCAACTCTACATTACCAAAGTGTACTCTTTGCACACACTTATTACCTTCATACACTTGAGACCTGATCTTCAATCATAATTAATAATACAGCCCTCTGTAGCAGCACAGCAGAGCAGTGAAATGAGAGGGACTGAGTTTATGCACATGGTTCAAGTTAAGTGAAAACTACTGCAGAATCACAGCATTGACAGAGGACCTTGTGGAATCAAAGTGTTCCAAAGAGCAGTTTGCCTAATGTGAGTCAAATTACACCAGTTCCTCTTTTCCATGTGGCTTTTAAAGTAGTCCTCTTTCTTCTCCCCACCTCTACATACAATCTAGTCAATAAAGATGAAAAAAATTTTAAAATAATAAAAAAAACCCCAACCTAAAAATACGTTGGTTTTGCACAAAATTTTCCAAATATTCCTACATGGCTTAGAAGTTGAATCTCCACTGATAATCACAAGGTTTAGAAAGTGGGATGCTGGAGGTTTGTATGATTATTTCCCACAGGACATGCTTTCCACTTCCCTGAGCAGGTGGTTAAGGCTAGGGAAACTGTGAGAGGATGGCTCCAGCTCAAAGGAAAGGACATAATCTGTTTGGGCTCTAGCACTAACACAACAAAATGGCAGCCAAAACTGGAAGCCATTCTGTAAAACTTAAATGTCATGTATAGGAGTTTTCAGTGAAGTTACCATCCTCTTCCATTGAAAAAAGTACAGAGCACTCCTTCTAGCTTGGGGAGCTCTGAGTGTAGCAAGTTCAGCAACATCAGCTCATTGGTGAGCAGGCCCTTACCATGCACTGCAGTGGGATCTGATGTGCCCTTTTCCTCCAGCTCAATCACAGTATTTGTTTGCCCAGTTGCTTGTTCCATCATGGTCACATCATACTCTGTGTTGTCCATTTGATCCAGGACAGCCTGGACAATGGGAACCATCATGGCAGTGGTGGCTGTGTTACTTATCCACATGGACAGGAAGGCAGTGACTATCATAAATCCCAGCATGAGGCTGAAAAGAAAGAAATGGATAGAGGAGAAAGGAGGAAAGCAAACAGATGCAGCTTAGGCTTTGTAGTCACTGTAATTTGGAGAGCAGAGCCCAGAGAGGGATGTGTGCAACATCCAGTAATACAGAGCAGGGCCAGATTCCCTTCTAGGACATAATTTTGTCCCTGGTGACAACCATCTAGAATCTAGTCAGATGCTGTTTTTGGCCAAATGACAAATAAACTGTTCCTGCTGCCAGACTTCACCTCTGGAAATTCTGTGCAAGTGCAGCTAAATAGGTTTGTGAAGAGTCCTTTCTCTGCTGACTGTTAAGCACCATCCATAGGACTCTGCTAGACTGACAAGAGGCTAGAAAGAATCATTGTAATACTCTTACAGTGCAGGTTTCACCCCAAGAATCAGAAGAACCCTCAGCGCAATCCTTTTGTGCAGATTCCACTGTTCAACAGAAATTGCAACGATGAGCCCTCCAACAAAGAGCATGTTTGTGTCATTTAGGTACTGCAAGCACACCTGAAAGACAGAGAAGGTAGGTTAGGGACCCAAATGTTGCCACTTGCTCACTTCACTAGAACATTTTACCTTCCACTTTCTCAAAGCCATGGGCTGGACCAGGCCCTATCCAACACTGGCAGAAGAGGCAGAGGCCTCAGAGCTCTCTGCAGTTTCCTGAACCCTTGATCCCCTGTGGTAGTGCTGAACTGTCTGTGCAGGGGATCATTGTGCAAAGTGACAGCAGCTTCCGAAAACATTGTTAGGGGGATCAAAGTGTGCCACAGGTGCTACAAATGCTGAGCTCCACAAGGGATTTCTCAGCACCTTTAGCAGTCACATCTGCCTTTAACCGCTTGCTGGCCAGTAGTGAACCTGGGCCACAGAACCTGACTACAGCCTCTCCCTTGGACTAAGGCACTAGTACAAACAGCCCAGGATGAACTCTGGAGGGGACACAGCATACCTGCTGGCACCACACTCTCTGTCCTGTCACAAGTTTGTCCCATGCATTTTGAGATCTCCCAGATCTGTCAGCATTGCTCTCTCATGGTATGGATTATGAACATAGCAACTACTGGCACTAGTGGGATGCTCTCCAGTAGGATCCACAGCCAAAATAGACCCTGCCCTCTACCACCTCAAGCCCCCCACTCTTAACATTTTGGGAAAATGTGCATTTAGTTCAGTATCTTCCCATACAAGAACCTGGACACTAATACAGCCTTGGCTAAATATTGATGAGAGATCAGAGCACTGGATTTCCATGTATCAGACCTGGATTGAGCGAGTTCCTTACTGATTTAGAGCTCTGAACTCCAAGCAGAGGGAAAAATACCACAGGCATGAGGGAGGTGACAGCCAGGGGGATCACTTCGGTGCACCAGTACACAGCCATGATGATGATGATATATGCACATTTGGCCTCCTGCAACATAATAGAAGACACATTGAAGCATAGAAAACTATTTTTAAAGATAAGAAACACATTGGTAGCTCTTATAAGGAGTTCACACCCTCCACTGTCTGTAGCTTAACAAGTTATACTGAAAGGTGATTTAAACTTGTGCTTTTAAACCTTGTTCTGAGTCACTTGTATAAAAAGATGTTTTTGATCAAGAAGACCATAATGTTTGTTTTAGTCTATCCACACAAAATGAATGATGTGAGAAAACCAAATCTTCCACAATGAGGTAAGCACAGTTTGCTGTGTGCAATTACCTCTTGGTGGTTGCAGATTTCACATCTAGGAGCCAAGAACTGCAATACTGAGTTAATTATTTTTAAATGTATGGCCAAATTTCCCAGTGTGGATGATTAGCTTGCCTGAAATTCACAAGTCTTTGACGTGCATCCAGTAACACACCTGAGCCCAGAAATTATTATCACTGAATAATTTAAAAGTTCTTTGCTTTTTAAAGTAACTCTTAAAATAGAACTATTTAACTTCTTTTTCCTTTTTTTGGGGTGGTGGTGGTGGTGTGATTAAGCCCATTAGAAGTATTTAACTACCTTCCAAAATCATACTGTGCCTACTTGCTAAGAGGATTCCCTAGATTAGAATTGTTGCAACCTGTCTTTTTAGACTGTTGCTCAGGCATTTCCATAGCTCAGCCTCCCTCTGTTTGTCCTCTCAAAACTGCTGGGAGAAGCAAGCATTCATTAGCCAACAGTGAACTGTTTCAAAGCTGAAGTCAGTGTTCTGTAGTTCAGTATTTGCTCATATTTAGGGCATGTGTTTATAGGATTTTATTCTAATACAACAAATAGGACTTTATTGCAAAAATAAATGGTGTGACAGTGACATTTAAAAACTGCTCTCAGGTGATATTTATAAATAGGGCTGTGTTTTCCTTCACTTTGTTGAGAAGTTTAAGAACCAGAAAACAGCCTTTGTAAGTAATTTGAATTTTTTCCTCAGGTTTCCAGGAGATTAATTACAGCACAAGCTTTGAAGAAATATTTCTTCAGAGACTAGAAGGTATCAGACAGATCCTATCAAAGTCTCTTCCCTTAATACACACGAGGTGAGCTCATGATACATTCATGCTGTGCCACAGTAACTCAGGTCTAGAACTGACTGTGGTTTAATCTGTAGCCAGTATGAAAGATGGACAAACAACTCTAAGCTGTTTATAAATAAAATTCACAACACAGAAGGAACACAGGTTTTAGAGAGTGGAGAGTAAATAATTTATGTGAAGTTCAAAAATACAACCATGCTTATAGATTAACTCCAGCGACCACAGCCAATTCAAACGGCCAAAGGTTTGGGGTTAAACGTTTGTATCTATACCTGCATGTATCTGTGATTTATGGGAACAGTCGCAGAATGTTTCTTTGGCGTTTCTGTACACTTGACACAAAACGCAGTGATGCTGAGAGATGAAAAAGCAGCCACTGACAGAAATGTTGCTCTCCCATTGTGAAATAGTGTCATTTCTCAGATGAGACTGATGGCACAGTATGTCTACAAATACTGAAGGCATGCTTAATTTTTTAAGGAAATTATCTTTCCTAGTTTTGATCAAAGTAGAGCCTAGCAGTCAGGAACTCTTCATTCTAAAAAGCACTGGCACTCAACAGAAAGGCAAGGCTGGTATTACTTAGACAGGTAAGCAGGAGGGTTGGCCATTTGGTTTATAAACACGCATGATGTTTTCCTGTACTTTAAAACAGTCTGAGCAATACAGGCTGCTCAGAAGAAAGCCTGTTTTCAGCATTAGAATAGCCTCCAGAACTCTAGTAGGTTAAAATACTGCAAAGCAATCTTTCACATTTGGTCAAGAAGGCTACAAGACATTAAAGTCCAAACTCTTCACTGGACTGTTCCAACGCGATGCTGGTACAACTCCTCTCAATGCTAAGGAGTCGTGGCGCTGCCATCCCCGGAGTAAGGCGCAGGTGAATGGGAGGACACGGCGCACAGTGCTGCTCCCGGGCGGGGACGGCGCCGAGCAACACGCCGGGAGCACCTGCG